CGGCTGCCACTGGATCTTCTGGGCCTTGCTAGGGTCCTCGGCCGGATTCCAGGGCGATCTGCCGTCCCCAAGCCCAGCCTCATGTGCATGGGGTCCAGTCGCTGCCTGAGCTGCAAGTCTGGAAGCCTATGCGCGCGCCCGAGGAAATCCCCACCTCCAGGTCGGCGGAATGGAATTAGACCCTCCCCCGTCTGGGCTGGGGAGGAGAGGAGGGAAATGGGAGGAGGGGTGCCCACAGGGTAACCTCCTACAGGAGCTGGCCGGGCAGTGACAGGCTGAGCTTGAGAGAGCTACAGCAGGCGCCAGCAGGGAAGGTTGTGTGTGTACACGTGTGCCTGGCACCGCACACCTGTAGTTCCTCTAGAGTAACATTGTACACCCAGGTTGTTGCACAGTTGGAGAGGGTAGGAGAGGTTGTACATAGCAATGCAGGCTCTGAGTGGGGGGGGGGAATGTGAGTTTGTTCCCACCCTTCAACATAACACGGGCACCCCATAGCTCTCTCACACTCACTCGGCCTTCCCCCACCGCAACCCCATCTTCTGAGTCTGCTCTGAGCTCCTTGAAAAACCCGGCCTGGCTCCAGCCTTTGCTCAGCCTGATCCTATCAGATTCCCCAGGATAAGAAACCCAGGGAAGGGTGCAGGTGAGGGATACTGGGGGCCTCCCTGGGCCAATCAAGCCAGGGCTGAATGGGGGGGGGCAGGGAGCACTGGATCGGCTATTTTGAGCCATGCAGGAAGAGAGGTGGCAGCTCCTGCCAGATGCCTAGGCAGCAGCGGGGCTGTGAGACTCCAAACCCGGGGCTGCACAGGAGCTGGGAGAGAGCAGGACTGGAGAGCTGTGTACGAGTGACCAGTGTGTGGAAGTGGGTGTGAGGGGAGCAGGAGGAGCAAAGCATGAAGGAGGGGTCTCCTCCTGCATCTGAGCTGAGGTGCCCTCAGGGCAGCCCTGGGGCCACATTCTCCCAGCGGTCCTGCAGCATGGCTGCTGAGTCCCAGCTGCTTTGGCTCTGCCAAGACCAGAGGGAGGTCCCTGCTTTGTTGTCTCTTGCACCTGGAATCTACCTTGCCCACCTGCAGGTCACTCACACCACAAACAGGGTACCCATCTGAGTCATGGGTCTGGGACAAATCCCACACCTGCCACTGCAGTGGGGGCGCCACAGGGCATTCAGTGCTCAGGCAATGCCCACACAGACCCCAAGTACAGATCCGGCCACACAAAGCTGCTATTATAGTTAACAGGTTGAGCCAGATTGTGTGTGCCACCCACCGCATAGCACGGGGCCTCTGGGACCCCATCCCCGGCTTGGTTCCTGGGGCCCGCAGGCCACCACCCACTCAGCCACCGCACTGGGCCGCGCCGGGTCTGAGCAGGCGCTCAGGGCTCACTGGCCGCAGGAATTTGGTCAGTGCAGCCGGCTCACTCCAGCCAAGGAAGGACGCGGGCCTTTCTGCTCAGACAGGTTTGTTAATTCCTCTTCTCTCCCAGCACCTCTACACACAATTATTCGGATACGTTCCTTTTCTATTTTTGAGCAGAGACCGGTCTTTTCCGGCAGGCGCGGGGACGGCCGGGAGTGTTGAGCTTTCTGTTGCGAGTACTGGTTGGCGGTGACCGTGACCCTCGCAGGCCCTGCCCTCCAGCCTCCGCTCCGCTCCGCACGGAGCGTGTCGGTCCAGCCGCTCGGCCTTTCCCCGCTCCCGCGGCGGTCGGCAGACGCGGGATTTGCTGAGATTCGGTCCCAACGAATTCTGGGCGGCCATGGAGGAGTCCCGCACGGTCCCTCAGTGCCAAGGTTCCCAGCGCCTCTGGAAGTCTGGCACCCCGGGGAGGCCTCGCCCAGGGTCTGGGGCATCGAAGGGGCCCCGGGAGAGCGCGCGACCCGGGAAGCCGAGCGAGCGCCGGGAGCAGAAGCGCGGTATCGGGGCGTCCGGGGCCCGGTGCTGGGGACGATCCCGGGTGCGGAATGCCCGCTTCTGCGCAAGGCTGGAGAGCAGCGGGGTCGAGGCTCCGGGCCTGCATCTGCCCACGCACGGAGGGTGAGCGCCAGGCCGTCCAGTGAGGATGGAGATGTGGAGGTGTCCGAGGGGCGTCATGCCCCACTTCGCTTGCGTTGTCTCTCAACAGGGGGTAGAGAGTGGCGGCGAAGGGCCGGGCTTCGGGGCCGGTGTCGGGCTGCCGTGGCAGCCGCTCCCCACCCCTACTCCTTGCTGGGCCAGTCTGTGGCCAGAAGACATCCAGGGTCCTCCGTGAAGGCGGTCAGGGGGATTGGAAGGCGGGAGGAAGGCCCTGGTCTCTCCTGGGGCTCAGCGGCTCTGGATCGTGAGGCCCGAGGCATCGATGGTGCGTTTAAAAGACTCAAATGGCGGAGAGAAACCGCACCCCACGAAGAAGGCGAGGGCGCTGGGCAGCTCCCCGCGGCTCCGGTCCTGGAGGGAGCGGAGGGGACAGCCAGACCCGCCCAGGTAGAAGGAGAGGAATTCTGTGGACCTGGGAGGCCGTTTCTGGATTTCGCTCTTCCTGGTGTTGGGCGCTACTGCCAGAATCTCTGCCCATGCCCAACACACAGCTCGTCAGGGCTGGGCCTGAACACTCGGCGGGCCCGCGAACCGGGGCAGGGCGGCCGGCCACGTCCTTAGGACCCAGAACCCTCTTCTCTTGCCGAGATCCAAGAGGGCCACGGATGAAGGGATGAATGAGCACCCCCCCTCCAGCAGAATTTCCCCTTGGGCTTCTGCAGGTGGGAGGTTGCTGTGCTCTTTGTCTATGTATCTCAACTCCTGAAGACTGCTGGGGCCAGATGAAGGACAGTAACCCTGCTGGTTTTGGTGTCCCCCTGCCCCGCCTTGGTCTAGGTGTGCACAACTCTGCAGACCTGTGTACAACCCACACCCCACTAACTTCTAGTTCTTAGCCTTAAAGTTCTCTCACTCTCCCATTCCCAAGAAAAAATCCATGCCTCTACTCCAGCTCACCCTGAAGACAGTGAGTTCCCCAGCTTTTTCCAGAAAAGCAGGTCCAAGTCAGTTCTGTTGTGCTGGGATCAGTCTAGTAGGTGGAGGACTAGGGTGTTACGGGGTGTGTGTGTACAGTGACTGCTGTCCTGGCTGGAGCAGTCTGGGGACTCTATGGAGGTCCCTGGAAAGTCACTTCTTTAGATTCCTCCGAGGCCAGGCTAGTGACACTTAGAGTACCAGAAAGGATCATGGCCCTAATTCCTGATTCGGTGTGCCCCAACTTGTGCAGTTTGCTGGGTAAGAGCCTAAAATCCCAGAACTCCTAGCAGATACTGATCCCCCCATAATGTATCTGCAAATTCCACTTTAGACTCCCACCACCACATATACCGTCAGCCCACAATTACACCTACTCATGTAACCACACACTCACCCACAGAGACAGTTTTTGCAATGATGCATACTCCCAACTACATTCATTCCCCCAAGTACATACTGTCACACACAAATACATACAGCTAAAATACACAGCTCACACAGGGTTACATCTCACACACAACTACACTCATCTGATTAAAGATAATACACAATCACAAACATTCACATATTTAAAATAAAAAATGGATTCAGAAAGAGAAACTAATATGTACTCTCACAACATTAACATGATTCATACACAATCACAAAGTGGGTGATTACACAATTACCAAAAAAGACACACTCACACTCACACATGGTTACACACACCGAGAAGCCCGTGCACACAATGATAGTTTCGATTTGCAACTTAAGCAGAAACAAATATTTACACACAAGAATTGCAAACACAATTACACACTGCAACACCATGACATTCACTGTCGGCAACATCCTGATTGCCCACATCACAAACACACAATGAACACACACACAACACTCACACACAAAGAAATCTACATCTTCTCAAGCACTAGCAATCCCAGGAGAGCCTGGCTCTCTCTCCTCTCCTCTGCTTTCTAATCATCTGTCCTCGTCCTTCTTTCCTCTCTCTAGAGCCTGAGGGTCCTGCTCTCCCATATGTCCCCCAAGCTCAGGTACCAGTGGCTGCCCTTCAAACACCAGCTCACACCAAACCCAAATAGCTGCAAGATACTGGGTTCAGCAAGGAGTGGGCAGCCCTGACTCCGGATCCGGAGGGTTTTATTATTTTTTCCACATAAATTACACAAGCACTTTATAAAATGGTTACACAGAAAACACCTTATAAGTGCATAACTTAAATCCCCCCTACAAACAGGATCTGGAGAAATGGGCTGAGTTTGTGAAAACCTGTCTGTGCGTACCTGGGTGCGGGTGGGATGTGTGGTGGGGGCCTGGCAGGCCAAGTGAGGCTGTTGTGGCTGGTATGTGTGGGGTGGTGTGTCACAGTGTGGCTATGGCCTTGTGTTTGGGGGTGGGGGGAAGTGCCATGCTGCTTGGAATGAGTCTGGGTCACCCTTGGCCTGTGCCTGATAATGAGGGTCAAGAGTGTGAAGGTTATGATCCTGTGTGTGCATGATACTCTGCCATAGGTCACCCATGTGTGGCTCTGGGGTGAGACCAGGAGGAACAGTGACATCGCCTCTATGTGGGCCTATAAGTCCCCATGTGTGTGATGAGAAGTGGGACACAGAGAGGGAGTTTCCCAGGGCAAGTTCAAGATGGCAGCCCTGGGGATCCCCAAAACTCTTCCTCCCCCCACTTCCCTTGCCTCTCTCTCGGTTCCACGTTAAATATCAGAATAAAACGAAATAGACGCAAACTGAGAGGACTTTAAAAGTTCCGGCGAGTGTGGGACCGCATTGACATCTGGGAGGAGATCGCCGTCCCTGTCCTGCGCGCTCAGCCACCGAAGAGAAAACAGTGTCGGCCGGAGTGCGCGGGCCGGTGCAAGGGACACGGCGTTCCCCTCCAGCGTGCAGTCTGTCCGCGGCTGGGAAGGGTGGAGGAGAGTCCTGGCTCTCAGGCCTGGATGACCCCAGACTGAGCCTGGGGTCCTGCAGGGCGGAGCGGGCAGGCTCACTCGCAGGCCGACGCCACGGACGTGACGCTAGTGATCTTGGTCGAGTCGTCAGACCACGGCTGCAGGTTCTGCAGGGCGAAGAGCGACGAGTTGTGCACGCACAGTGGGTCTGCAGGCAGCGGCTGAGCCAGGCTCTTCTGGAAGGCTTCCTGCTGCAGCTGCAGGAGGATGCGGTTCGCCTGCTGCCTCTCAGCCTCACGCTCCTCCGCGGTCTGCCGTCTGCATAGGGAACAAGCCGTTACCTGCCAGGGCACTGACCCGGCTCCTGCGCCTGCCCCAGCTCCCGGTAGGCTCCCAGAAGATAACCTGAGTGAGTCAGGACCCTCAAGAGAAGGGAATGCATTAAAGGGGCCCAAACGGGAGCTGGGGGCTCCAAAGAGGAGCACTGCGCTCTCAGGTTATCTGAGCACTGACTGGTTATCTGACTGGGAACCCCAAAAGTGGATGGAACTGAGATATCCCAGAGGAGCATTGGGAAAGTCCGCCAGGCTCAAATAGCTGGGACTCCCCATCTACACACAGCGCCCACCCTCCCACTGGCCTTGCACAGTGCAGCCAGGAGCAGGATAGCATCTGGCCTCTCCCCAGCCCCGAGGGAGACCAAGCTTCGGCCCAAGTCCTGGGGGCCCGCCTCGCCCTTCCCACTAAAATGCAGGACAGAGAGGCAAGGGCCAGCAGACACGGCCAGTCCTGCCGATCTGCCCTGCCGGACCTCTCTTCTCTCTGAGAACGTCTCCCACGCCTCAGGCCTCCTGTGCTGAGCCCTGTGCCCTGCCGGGGGCTCCAGGACAGACCGGCTTCCTCCCAGACGGCCCAGGGACGCGATGACTCACTTATTCCATTTAATGCCGCCCCTCCACCCTGTCAACTGAGATCAAACGTCTGTCTCTAAGGTGGACAGACCTAATGGGAGTCCCCGGGGCCTCCAGAAGCAATTTGTAGGCGATCGATGAAGCCGCGCAAAGCCTACGAGGGCCTCTTCCAGCGGCTGCCGCCGGCCTTCTCTGCGCGGCCCCTTCTTGACTTTTCACTCTGTGTCTTTCTGTCTCTTATCTGTCCCTTCTTCCCTGCATTTCAAGCTGCCCCAGTGTTTCTCTTCCTTTATGCTTTGTGTCTTCTCTCTCTCTCTCTCTCTCCTTACTCCTATCCACCTCCTTCTCTCTAAATTAAGGGAATTGGTTTGAAACGAAAATGGCCGTTTTAGTCATCCACTGCTTTATTATAAATAAGGCTTCTTCAGGCTGTCTGCCATTCTTTTTTTCTTGGGATGGGGTGTCTCTCTTTGACCTCCTCCCCTTTGTGTTTCACTTTCTCTTTGCCTGCAGCCGTCTTTCTCTGTGCCTCCCCCAGGCCCGCCGCCTTCCCCCCTGCCCTAGGCCGCCGTCCTCAGCAGGCCTCGGGAGCACCAGCCCTCCCCTTCCCCCCTCCAGCTAGCCCCTCTCCCTCTTTAGCTTTCCAGAGGTCTGAGGCCCCGTCCCCCACCCCTTCCCTAGCGACAGGAATGCTGGTAGACTCTCGGGGCCATGGCTTCCTTTGTGGCCCCGAAGGCGGAATCCCGGGCAGATTCCTCGCCTTCATTCAGAAAAAGAGGAAACTCCAATTCCTTCCTCCCGCCCCGAGGCCCGCCCGGCCCGGCGCCGCCGACTTTGCCCAGACTCTTGCGCTCACCCCTGGGGCCTGAACTAAGGAGACACTCCCGGCGTGTGTGGAACCGAGTATGCGGGCCAGATGTGCGGAGGGTTCAGGGGTGCAAGAGGGTGCAGCCGGAGACAGCGTCAGAGGGTGCGGAGAAAAAAGCGACTTAGGAGTGTGTGGGGAGCATCATGTCCCTGAGGGTAAGGGAGAGAGTCGGGTGAAAACGAGAGAGGGCGAGGTACGTGCGTGTGAAAAAAATAAGTGTGTAGTAACTGTAGTTGCGACTATGTGACGGGAGAAGGGGCAATGTCTCTCTTTCTCACACACACCCATCTGCTCCTAATTGATCCCCCTTTCAGTGGGACCCGCGAAACCCCACCGCAGCCGGCGCGGATTGATTTTCCCCTTCCAGGGTGGGGGACCTGCTGCGCCCCAGCCGGGCGTCTGGGGAGGCGGCGGCGAGCGGGAGCCAGCCACGGTCTGGGGCCCCAGACGCTCTGCCGGGAGCCCGGCGGGGCCGAGACAAGGCGCAGGCCTTTCTGCCTCCAGTCTCCGCGACAGAGGAGGCCCTTCGGTCATTGCGGGTTTGCGCAAACAAAAAGCCTCCCAGGACTCACTGAGCCCAGAAGGTCACACTGCACAGAGCGCTCTAACCCTCCTGCTTGTCCAAGCGGCGGCGGCGGCGGCCAGCCGCGTCTACACGGGCACAGACTGTGCCGGACAGAAAGCCCCGAAGCCTCTGGTAAAACCGAGCCGAGGCTCTCCAGCCCCATGCCGGCTATCGGCCTCGGTTGCTGTCAGCTCCCCGCGTGCCTAGCAGGAGCCCGCTCCTCCGAACCGATCGGAAACCCGCGAGCGGAGGAGCATGTGCGCCACAAGAGAGGACGCGAGCGGGCCGAGAGCTGCCCGACTGCGCCCCGCGTACTCACCTCCACTTCGTCCGTCGGTTCTGGAACCAGGTTTTGACCTGCGCGTCGGTCATTTTGAGCGCCTTGGCCAGGGCGGCGCGCTCGGCCGAGGCCAGGTACTTCTGGCGGTGGAAGCGCTTCTCCAGCTCGCAGATCTGCAGGCGCGTGAAGGACGTGCGCGGCTTCTTCTTCTTGGGGGGCGTCCGGTTCTGATAGGGGTGACCTATACGGCGTGTTACAGTGAAGGGTGAGAGGGCCACTGGAGCGGGAGACAGACAGACGGCAGAGGCAAGCGGCAGAGCGTCAGGAGGCGTCCCAGGCACGACACCCCGCGAGTCAGCGAGCGCAGCGGCGGGACCCCTACGAGCAGGGCTGTGGTCCTCCCGTCAACCCGCAGCAGGAAACGGCCCCGTCCCGCCCTCCAGGCCAACGCCGCTGCTGCCACCACGGAGGCCTCCCTAGCCCCAGGCTCCCGCGAGCCCAATCGCCACCCCGCTCCCCCCCACCACCCTTGGGGCAATCTAAGGCGAGCTGTAAGTCGTGTACTGCCCCCCGCCCCCCTCAGCTCCAGGGCTCCAGGTTCAGAAAGCCTTCCAACAGTAAGAAGCCAAGCTGTTCAAGGCCCGACTCTGAGTCCCTCCCGACCTGAGCTCCATCACACAGCCACACATACAGGCACAAACTTCCAAATTTTACACCCAAACAGGCCGACACGCATCTAGACAAGCACAGGCACAAGCACACAGGACACAGGACAACACAAAGCAACAGCCATACACTCCCTCAGGACCTTGCTCATGCCTGAAACAGGATTAGGACCTGGGGTGGCTCCCTGAGGCAGGCCTTCTGTGGAGCACTTTTCTCCAGGGACCCAGGGCCAATAAGCTCCCGCCAGCAGGGCCCTTCAAGACTGACCCGGCCTGGGTGGTGGAGTAGGATGGGGACCAGGCTCTGCCTCCCCAGGCCTGAGAGGACTCTGGTTGGGGCACAGGAGCCCTTTGACTGAGGGTCTTTCCTGGAGACCTGGAGCCAGCAGCTGTTCTGCCTGTCACTGCCGGCCCCCACTTCTGCCATGGCCCCAGAGTCTGGTGAGAGGTTCCAGGAGCAGTCTCCCTGCCTGTGCTGCCTGGAACAGGAGCAGGGGGCCTGGGACACCTTGGGCTATCCTTGCCCAGTGGCTAGCTCTAAGCTGCTTCTCCCACGGTGATTATGCACAAATACCCTCCTTCCACTGTTGGGCCCTGGAGTCCAGGGTGCCCAAGAGTCCCAGTGGCGACCAGTAGTGGCCTGTGCCGCCTGCCTCCCCTCTCTAAGGCCCAGCCAGCGGCGAACCCGGGTTCAATTTGTGGCTGCTTCCCAGTGGGACTTGGGGGTCTGTCACGGCGGGAGGATCGTGGTCTCTGATCCAGAGAACGCTAAAGAGAGCGGGAAGTGAAGACTGCAGGAAAGGGCCAGCAGGAGAGCTGAGTGCCGAGAGGAAACGGGAGCGGAGAAGCAGGGGCAGCGGAGGCAGGCGCAGAGCAGGCAGCGGAGAGGGCGGCAGCCAGCCACCACCTAGTGCGGAATCGTCCCGGGAGTCGTCCTCCCGCCACCGATTGATCGCCAGCCGGGCAGTGCATTATTCACGCCGGACACAACAGCGCTGGGTCCATGGGAGGACTCCAAGCCGGGACAGAACGAAAATGAGGAGCGAACTGTCCCGGGTGGCTCAGCCCTGCGCTGCCACCGATCCGGACGAAGCCGTCGGTCCGGGAAGAGGAAAGAAGGGCCCTTCAGCTCTGGGGCTTTATCCAGGCTTGGGGCCTCTGCCACGACGGGCCCCGGAGCTTGGAGCAAGAAGTGCGTGCGTGTGTGCAGGGGACGAGAGGTGGGGGAACCTGTTCTTTTCTTGTGTCTGATTCTGGGGCTCGCCGCCTTGGTCTGAGAAAGGCAGCTGGGTCGGAAGAAACAGTTTGTTCACATCTCACCACTTTACCTGAGATTCCTCAGCCCCAAATGCCGGGGGAAGGTAGTTCTGAATCTACAGCCCCCTTCCCTCTGCCTCATCGGGCCCAGGGATCCCAAGAGGGAACCAGGGAGAGCTTCTCCCAGCAGGGGTCCTGCGAGAGAGACAGAAGGGCCCAGGCTGGGAGAATTCTTCAAGCGTGGCGATTCTGCGATCACAGAATCTGGCGGGCTGCTGAACTTGGGGGAAGCGCCTAGAGAAGCTGGACGACCTGGCGCGCAGAGGGGGCCGGGGGAGCCCCTGGGCGAGGGAGGGGTAGCGCAGAGCCCGGGCCGCGGCCAGGAGGGGCGCGCGCGGGCCGGACTCACCTGTGAACCTGTCCTTTGTGTATCTGCGGTTACTCTCCATCCAGGGGAAGGTGAGGCCGGTGAGGTTGTTGACGCCCGGCACGGCAGGCACAGAGGGCACGGTGGGCAAGCCGGCGGCCAGAGGCTGGGAGTGGGCCACGGCTCCAGCCAGTGGCCTGTGCGCCGGGACCCGGATCACTCCCGCAGCGCTCAGCGCAGCCCCGCCGCCGCCGCCACCTCCTCCTCCGCCGCCGCCGCCCGGACCGGGACCG